AGAAAGGAAGAGGCAAGTGTTGGGTTGTGCGGAGAGTCTCTGTGTCTTTCTCAGCTTAGAATAAATGTCAAAGAGTTTGAATCTGTTTTTTGTTTTGAAAAGGGCTGGAGTTGAAAACGCGGTTTGGATATAAAAGAAAGAACAGAGAGGCTGTGAATTGCGTTTTAATATAAAATTATATTAAAATGTTGTGTGTATGGTCTGTTCTGTAAGTGCTTACCGAGTCTTCATCTTGTTCTGCTTCTTCCTCTCTCTTTCCTGCTTCATTGGCTTACGGCACCGTGACTGCCATATATACCGTTATACTTTTACACTAAGCGGCTTACATGAACATCAGCCTGCCTCTCTCTCTCTCTCTCTCTCTCTCTCTCTCTAAAACTACTCTTTGGTCTTGGTTTGGACTTTGGTTTACTTTTCTTATAGTTTAGGAAATAACTGGTTTACAATATTGTTTTATATTACCAAATCATTATTTTAGTAAAAGCCATATAAATTATGGGAAGTTTGGAAAAGTAAATACCGAATACGAAGTATTTTATTTGTCAACTTTAAAGAAATAACGACATATTTTTTTGTTTGCAAGAAAAATAATGGCATGTTTACTTGCAATGAATGTGAGAATTCATGAATCGAAAAACTTAATAATAAAGGAAAGTAAACGCATGGAAAGTAAGGAATTGAAATCATTCCAATACCCATGTGTTAGTAAGAGACACAACAAGAGAAGAAGAAATTGGAATAATTTTTTATACCTATGCCCTATCACATTAACATAGATTTTTTTAATTATCAAAGATTAATTTAGACTAATTTGATACAAGCAATATTTAGGAATGAGAATGCAACACAATACACCGAGTAAAGGTTTATTGGATGATTTTCGTGTTCGCCCCAATCATTCCGATACCCAAGTGTAAAGATTTATGTTAGGTGACCTTTATATTTTTTTTGGTTATAGTTTCATATTTCATTAGGAACAAAAGACAAAGAGAGAATCATTTTATTATGCGTGAAGTTCTTGAAAGTCAATGCACACTTTAGATGGCGGAAAACTTTTCCTATTGTTATTTTAAATTCACTCATCATTGTCAGATGTATAGTGAAGTCAAAACTTGTTTTCTTTTTCTTCTCCTCGGCTTACCCTAAAAAATTGTTCAGAGGGCACGTATACGTAGCAGGCATCACCATTTCGATCGGATATGGTCATGCAATGCTCAAGACCCTTTTTCAAGCAGCCTAAGTAATCAATTAATACTATTTTTTCTAACTAAGCATTCTTAACTTTGATCTGACTGACTAAAGGTATATGAATATTTATTTATTTTTTTTCTTTTGCCATTTGGATTTTGGCCCGGTGACCATAGCAAGGACATAGTAAAAGCTGTTGAAGAATGTAATATCCCATGTTGGATACTTGACTAAATATATGACAACATATAGGTGGTTAAATTGAGGACAATTTCGGTGTTAGTGGAGTGAACTTTTTCTCTGTTTGACCGTTTTATTTAGTTTATTTTGTCAAATTTGAACATTTTCTTGATTAAATCCTTTTATTTATGCTGACGGGTTGCTTTGGGTCTTTTAGAAAAGAAGTCACCAAGCAAGAGGGGGCATAAACAGGGGTATGAATCAATTAGATTATGATGTAGGTATCTAAACAAATATATTAGACAGGAAATGAAAGCCTTGACCTATTACCTAACCAGCTCTTAGCCAAATAGTTCATGTCAAAGAGTAAAAGCAGGTTTCTAGGATAATACCATTTACGTGGTTGGAGTCTTGTGGTTTATGTTATGGTCTTCCAATTTGCACAAGGCAAATTAATTTAACGATAACTTAATCTGAAAGTGATTCAAGATGAATTAGTTGTAGTATGTGACGGTGTTTTGATACCGTTGAATATTCTTTTCTCATGAAAGTTGCTTCAAATTATTCGTACTACTATTGCTCGGATAGAAAATACATATGTATAGAGTGTGACATTTATATGGAGATTTTTTTATTTTTTATTTTTAATACAAAGGAGGAAAATAGATAGGGTCAAAGTTCAAACAAATTTGTCAAAAATGGATGTATATAATGTTTCTTTTCTTTTTTCTTTTAAAAAAAAAAATCTGGCATGAATATTCATACTATCCATGCTATCTTGAGTTACAAATCCCCACTTTGATGTTTACATACCAAGAATGGAGGAAGCCATGAATCGAAAAATTTAGATAAGGGAATCAAGGTATTGGAATCAGATCATCTACTCCCCCTAGTCGATTCCATTCCCATTTTTTAGGGTATTCGATTAAGGATTTTAAAGTGAAATCCACATAATTTTTTATTTTTTATATGTTAGTAAATACGGGGAAGTCTTCTAAAAAACGCGGGGAGGTCATGAATTTGAATCATTCCAATACCCATGTATTAGTAAACACATGAGAAGCAGGAATTAGAATCATTCAAATACTTATTTCTTATGAGTAAACATGCATGTGTATTACTCTAATTCTTTTCCATATATGACTCCCATTTTTTAATAGTTCTCGTTTCTTTTATTTACAAAAAATAAATAAAAATATTGACAAAACTTTGAAGCTTGGTTAATGATAAAAGAGAATTAAGCAAGTAGCTAAGCTAGCTTAATTTCCGCACCATGTCTACCATTAATTTCTACATGGAATGTTCAACAAGACACCGCCCCACCATGACCACCTTGAAATATGAACACGCAGAAACACAAAACAGAGAAAAACGGGGGTAGCTGGTAGAATTTGGAGCAGACAAACATGCCGTATTGCCGCCATATATATTAAATATATTTTGATAAGAAAATAGCATTTGGACCCTTTGGATTTTGAAGTATTATTGTTGACTCCAAAAAATAACATTATTAAATTCAGGGGCTTTCAAAGTGGAAAATTGGTGTGCGATGTCGTGTTCCTGTATAATTCGTCTGTGCTCTCACGTGGTGCTGACTTTGAAATATGTAATTTATATATAAAACATAACTAGGACACATTTCAATTCCTTATCTGGCAAAACATATTTACCTTTTCTTTGCAATATTATTTATGTTCTTGGTCTTGAGTCTTGATTGATAAGTCATGTATTCTTCCGTTCATTATTTTGGTGCTAATCGATTTCATCTTAGTTTGATCAAACATATGAATTAGAGTGCAAGTACAGATGTTTCGTAACGTTTACTAGACCGATTTTGTGCGATGTAAACGCCTTTTTTTTTAAAACACCTAGAATAGAGACAAGAAAGATGAAGTTTAAGTAAATATGTGTATATATATATATATATATTCAAGTAAGCAGTCATGACCCATGCACTAATCGGTTTCCACAAAGTGGGAGAGAGTCTTTGTCAGGAAATTATGGCGTTATATTCTTCTTCTTGTCTCGTGGAAACAAGATTTTCTAAGTCCGCTATATATATGGAATTAGTTAGGTGAAGTGAAGGCAGGTCAAACTCAAGCTTGCAATAATATAGGGGAATGTTGTAGTTTCAACAATCAACAATCACTGCCATACTCGAATCAAAGCTCATCGTCTAAAATGTGTTTAACACAAGAAAAACGTTTACTGATTGGACAATATAGTTGTGCATATATATACTGCAGAGCCATGCTCATGATGCCATGTCACTAATTAAATATTCCATGTGTTCATCTTCATGACAATACAACAATACAAAAGTACAATTCTCGCGATTATTGAAAATTGGCAACATCATGTCTAAATGTGGAGAAGAACTTGCATGTCGAGATAACACTGTTGATTGATTCTGTAATGTGAATCAGTTATTATGCGTGACCGAACGTGATTGGTTGATTGAAAATACCACAACAGACAAATGATATACAAGTTTATTTTTTTATTTTCATTCCCCTAGAAATAGTGGTCATGTATCTGTTTTTTGATGAGCGATAGTGGTCATGTATCTTAAACTAAGGAAAAGGTGGAATGTGGAGAAGAGTTTTGGTTTGACACACAAAAGTAGGTGGTGTTAGGTTTTCCTCAAGATCAAGAGAGTTTATCAACAAAAAATAACCAAAGTTGAGAAGGCAAGCCAGTAACAAGTGCTTGTTTCTTGGAGGAAGCAAAAGATCTTGAAGGTTGGGAAATTTAATGAGAATTTCCACTACAAAATCTGTCCTCTAGCATTTGGATGTGAATAAAAAAAAAAATGCCACCACATTCGTTCTAAAATTCTATTCTCCAATTCAGCGCATGTGAAACTTTACTTGGACTTTTAATTGTTTTTTTCGTCCTCTTTTCCTTGGAGGTATTCCTTAGACTCATTCTTATTTTGAACTATTTTATCCCTATCTGAAAAGGTAAGTTACGTAATTGAGTAAGTCTTTTAATCCCTCAAGAATCCGTCCTCATTAGGGTCCAAGTCGAAAACTTTGAAGAGACTTGCATGTCACTAAATAAACCCTATCTTCAACTTTAGTCTTCTAACTTAATTCACATTAGAATGCTACGTTTACCTGAAAGCATCAAGCAGCTTACATGATCAACTAATCTCTTATTTTTTTTTTTTTTTTTTAATTATAAATTATTATTATTATTATTATTTTATATATTTATAATTTTTATAAATAAAAAAGGTCAAAGAGATCATTTTGATGATATAAGCTTAATTAGTTTTACTATTGGGGGTTAGTTGGATTGGCCGAGGATTCAAGCTATCCATGTGTCTGAATTTTCCCCCTCTTCTTTTTTTAACTTTGGCGAAAAAAAGAATTTATCATTTTGATAAAATATTTGGAGGGATGGAAATGGGCCGTGCGATCAAAAGCCCAAATGAGGCCCAAATGAGAGAAAATGGAAGGAGGTTTCTTTCTCAAATTCTCAGAGATCAAATGTTCCGTTTCTGTTGAGCCAAAAGAAGTTATGTTTCTAAGAAAGAACATGGCAAGGAAATCCAGAAAGCCAGAACTTCTACAAGAATTTTACACAAGTGTGGACAGTGCAGAAGATGGTGCACGATGCTTTCAATCTGGAAAATAGTAAATTGGAGGTTTTATTTTATGTAGTCATTCTAATACAATAGCCACAGCCAGCTCAGTCATCCAGAGATTTATTTATTTATTTTTATTTACTGTACAACGAAAGAGCTAATACAAGTCATCTCTTGAAATGAAGAGGAGAGAGATGTCATAGGATATAGAGCTGCTTTCGTGGCATTATCAGTATACTTTCAAGGTCTTAGTACAGTCAAATTGTAGCCAATTGATTCATGTGGTTAAGCCGGCTCCCTTTCGATGTTCTCGTCTGAAATGCAAATCGTAGCAGCAAATATGTCTAGTTTGACACAGACTCAACAGGCCTTTCAGACAAATCTTGCAATCCACAAACCATATTCGCAGGTACAGCTATGTCAATCATTTTCGGATATGAGAGTTTTAGATCTGTCAAGAAACATCATTTTTCTTAACTCAAACCTAAAATGGTTGGATATATCATATAATCAATGAAATGACAGTTAAAACTGGACATGGTTACTTCTAAAAAATTGGATGCTTGATAGTTTTACTTACTTTCCATGATATTTTGAAATGTTTCCTGTCCAAAAGAGTTCAAAATCAAACTAGTTAGATACATATTGGGAAGAAGTGTTAAAATACCCATATGATAAATGAAAAATAAAACTGCATCTATGCAGCGCATGAGGTCAAGACTCTTTACAGTGACTGCTAATTTATTCAGCCAGTTATCTCACATAAAAGAAAAATCCATTTCTCACTACTTTCCCTTAAAATTCAACATTCTTTTACAACATCTGTGCAACACCAGTATTAACTATTCTTGGTAAATTAGGTGAGTGCTTTTTAGGCAGAGGCTCCTTCACATTAATATCGCCCCAGGTCAAAATAACATTTGTTGACCCAAGATATGTAGGTATACAAAATCTTGACAAGAAAAGGAAAATCATCATCCAATCGTCAACCAGATAGTGTCAGTGTCATCTTTCTGAAAAACATTAAATTTAGCAACTACAGTGGTTAACACTTTTGGAACAACGAAATATATACCTCATCTTTTGTGAGTCGAGGATTATAAAGCATCTCCTCCCCAACGGTGCTAACCTGCATCTCAAGCAAATGTGGCATAAGAAGCTGCCTAGGTATACAGGGTGCAGAAGAAATAGACAATAGTGAGTTCCATACACTGAATCCCTTGTAATCATGAGCAGGATAGATCAACGTATTCTTTGGCAATGTGAAAATCTGGATTTGTAAGCACAAAACAATAAGTGGGCTTTTAAAAAAGTCATGTTTGAACTCATTTCTTTCCTATGGTATCAAAGGTATGCTAGCTCAGTATGTTCTTACCTGTGAATGAACTGACTTGTACAGTTGATGTGAACTGCCACCCTGCAAACGGATTTGATAAATCAAACACAGGAACTTGGTAAATCCCCTTAACAGTCGTGTTTTAAGAACAAGCCAACTCTTCTAATGGCAAACTGTTGCTAGCTTTTCAATTTTTGCTTTCCTTGTCTTTTGATTGAAGCAGCAGAATTTGTCACAAAAAGGTAAATTATAAAGAGTTTCAAAAGTTGAAGGTACTATACCTGAAAATCAGTTCTCCCACAACCCCGTATGAGTAAAGCATCTCCAGTGAAAGCCATCCTTGGTTGTGGCTGATTAGGCCTATCTCCTGTAACATAGGTAACACAACCTAATGTATGCCCGGGAGTAGCTCGAACCTGCAACACAAATGCACACAGGAGATACATATATACAAAGGCACATACATACACGCACACCCGACACAGAGAACCACAGCTCTAACTAGTCCAAAACCAGTAAGATACATACATAACTTCTTTCAGTATGTTGTTTCTTTAGGCCAATTTGTCACAACATATGCACATAAGATACATGTAGAAAACGTACATGAACACATACAAACACACACACACAAGCACACCCCTTTGTGTACACACATAAAACTACCTAGTTGAAAATCAGCAAGGACCAGACAAGTTTTGTTACAGTAAATTATTTCTTTTGGTCACTTTTATATATTTCACAGGAAGAGGAACTCGGTAGATCACAGCCTATACCAGTTAAGCTTTGTATTCATTCTACTTTATCGGCCCAAAAGCAATTAATTCAACAAAAGCCGACTCCTTAGTATTCAAAACCTCAATCTGAGCTTTAACACTATTGGCAGATTTGGGCTAAACACTCCAGTTTAATCAACCCAGTAAGTTTTATACCTTCACCTAGGAGAAAAAATTACCACAAAGTCTGGTATATGAAATATCTGTGATGATCACTGGGAAGCACATAACACATTTCCAAGGCTGGCCTAACAAGCATTACAATGATTCTCCCACTTACACCTCAAATCATACTCGATTTCTTCAATAATTTTAAAAGAGGGAATATAAAGGTAAGCTTGTGTACACATTTAGTCCTCTAGAAGCCATTAAAACCTTCAAATTTCCATGCAACACAGTGCAACAAGCTTAAACATATAAAACAAAAACCTCAGTGCTAACCAAACCTCCAAAAACAGATCGCCGAAATGTATTTTTTCACCGGCTTCAATCAGACGGTCTGCTTTTGAGTTGCTCGCCTTCGAAATGATAGATTTGACACCAGGAAGCTTAGTCTGCCACAAAAGAAAAAAATGTATACTCATCAAATAACTCAGTTGTTGTTACAAAGCACACAACTTTTTTCCCAAATAGCATGAATGCAGAGGCATTGATCACTCATGAATAATCCAAAAGCACCAACATTATCAAAAGAAGTCAAGAAAAAGATGAGAGGAAGAAGGTGGAAAGCCCAAACCTTGATGAGGCCAGTGCCAGTGATATGATCAGCATGAACATGAGTGTTCATGGCATAAATTAGCTTCAAACCCAACTCTTTGACAAGGGAGATATCCCTATCCACCATCTTGTCCACCGGGTCAATCAACTGCAAATTAAAATTCATCAAAATCCTAATCCTAATTATAAAGTTATAATTTTTATTCAAAATATTTAAAGGCTAGCTAACCAGAGCGGGTTTGTCGGGGTGAGCGACGTCGGCGAGCAAGTAAGTGTACGTGGAGGACTCCTTCTCGAAGAGCTGGCGGAAGAGGAGCTTCGCAGAGGAGGCGGAGTCAGACGATGTCGTGTAAGCAGAGGTGGCCATGTTTTGGGAATGGGAATGAGGAGAAATGGGATTGAAGAAAAGGGAAGAAGAAGAAGAGGAGCGAGAAGGAAGAGAGAGAAATCTGAGGAGACTGATTCGAAGCATTTGCCCTGTCTGTAATGTTGTTGGTGGACACAGCGATGAAATCGATCAGCCGATTTGGTTTTGGTGGGAGAAGATGCTTATTATGTTCTGTTCTGTATTATTTTTATTATTTATCATTATTTAAGGTGGTGGTGTTGTTGTCCATTATTATTGTTGTTGTGCTTTTCGAGTTGTGTTGTGTAGTGTGACATCGGCAACAAGAAGGATTGCGATTGGTTTGCAGGCGCCAAATCCGATGAGGGAATGAAGAGAGCGACAGCCAACGAGTCTTGGCCGAGTTATGTTGTGTCCTAATCGGATTAAGAATAAAGGGTCACATTATTTGAGAATTGCACGCATTCTATTCAATGACACAACATATGATGTAACATTCACCCCCTACGAATCAAGGATGGTGAGTAGCCTTATTCTCATTCATATTCTGCTCGTATTCGACTTTAATCCGGTGGAAGGGAGTGCTAGTTGAGTTATGTTGTTGTTATTTAGTTATCGTCATTTTGAATCTACGCTTAGAGGTAATTGACTTTGATTTTATCTATATATAAAGCTGTTGACTTTTGTATATAATTAGGTTTCTTCGTTATAGGCGTAAAAGCTGTATTTAGTTATTGCTCTTTTAAATGGGATTGGTTTTCTTGTAGGGATTGTACTCTTTGTATAAATATCCTCTAAAGAGAAGAATAATATAGTTTTCCAGTTCTCTCTATTTCAACTTGGCATCAGAGCCACGTTAAACTAGGAAGAAAAATAAGCCACATAGCCTCCTTGTGCTATCGGCCTCGACCGAACTCGATCACGAACTAGGCAGCGCCGCTCGCCTTGATATCTGCACCTACTCTCGACTATTGCCGTACAACGCTGTTGTGCAGCATCTTGATATCCCTCACTGTTTTTTTCCTATTTCCACCATGGGCGACCAAACGAAGGAAGATAAACCTACACCAGTTGTTGTTCAATCCGACAACTCTAATTTTAATATTGGAGTGTTGTTGGATGAGACAAACTATGATTTATGGGCACCTCTGATTGAGATGCATATTGCAGGACGTCGAAAGATGGGATATCTTCGAGGTTCGACTAAGGCACCTTCTGAAGATGATCCCAAATACGAATATTGGGAAGCTGATGACCAGAGGGTCAAGAGTTGGCTTCTGTCCTCTATGAAGCCAGACCTGATGAGACGATATATCCGCTTGACGACGGCAACAGCAATCTGGAAGGCTTTAAAAATGACTTTCCTTGATGAGCAGAATGAAGTCTGTGTGTATACTTTGAGCCAGAAGGCGGCTCGCCTTCGTCAAAATGGGAGGCCAGTATCCACCTACTTTCATGAACTCTCTGAAATTTTTCAGGAGTTGGATCACTACAGTAAGGTGGCTATGCATTGTGATAAAGATATCAAAGTCTATCAGGAGTCGCTTGAACGACAACGTGTTTATCTTTTATTGGGAGGCCTTGATGATGAGTTCGAGCAAGTTCGAGGAGAAGTTCTGCGCAAAGAACCACCTCTCGGGCTTCAGGGATCATATGCTTATGTTCGTAGAGAATTTGATCGGAAAGAGGCTATGAAGCAAGAAGGCGAGTAGGTAGAGGCCATGGTGGTCCGCAACAGGTCCTCCCACAACCGATCTAGTCCATCAGGTTCAACTAGCCGGCCTTCCACTATGAACTCTTCCTCGCACCGGCCTAATGCCGGATCCACTCATGCTCGGCTTGAGATTAATCGCTCCAAATTGGTGTGTACTCACTGTGGACTTGGGGGTCATTCGAAAGCTAGATGTTTTGAATTGATTGGGTATCCTAAAGGATGAGATAAGACTCGTGATCCTCGTTACAACAAACAATGAGCTACCATAGCTGGCACGAAAGATAAACCCGACCTTGTTGCTAATCAGGCCTCTGCATTAGTTACTACTATCGGTAATGAGGGCAAGGTTTTGCAAATTTCTGATTTTGTTAAGAATACTACTTGCATAATTGACTCTGGTGCTACGGCACATATGACATTTGATTCTAAATTGGTCCACACTGTTAACCCCTCCATTCAGTCTTGTGTCACCACTGCGGATGGCAGTGCCGCTCCTATTATTAGGGAGGGCCTTGTCGCTCTCACTGATACTTTGAACCTTGATACTGTACTTGTTGTTCCATCCTTTGATTACAACCTACTTTCTGTTGCTCAACTAACCATTGCTTTGAATTGTGTTGTTGTTTTTTGGCCTCACTATTATGTGTTTAAGGACATCCAGACTCGGCGGATGATTGGTTATGGCATTAGGAAGGGGAAGTTGTACTACATGGATTTGACATTAGACAGTACTTCTTGCATGACTCAAGCTCTGTCGGTGGACACCTCACATGGGGAGCCGAAAGCTAGAGCTGATATTTGGTTGTGGCATCGTCGCTTAGGACATGCTTCATTTGGTTATTTATAGAAACTTTTTCCAAGTTTGTTTGTTAAGTGTGATGTTTCGAGTTTCAAATGTGATGTTTATGAACTGGCTCATAGCCATCGTGTCTCTTTTCCACCTAGTTTACATAAAAGTTCAGTGCCTTTTATGATTGTTCATTCTGATGTTTGGGGTCCATCTAAAACTGTAACTTTGGGTGGTGCCCGATGGTTTGTTACTTTTCTTGATGACTGTACTCGAATGACATGGGTAGTTTTGTTGAAAAATAAAAGTGATGTATGTTCTGCCTTTTAGAAGTTTCATAGAATGGTTCTCACACATTATAACAAACAGATACAGGTACTTCGGAGTGATAATGGCAAAGAATATGTGAATGTTGATTTGCAAACCTTTTTAACTGCCCATGGTATTATTCATCAGACAACGTGTCCGTATACTCCACAACAGAATGGTGTTGCCGAAAGGAAGAACCGACATCTCCTGAATGTGGTTCGTGCTTTGTTACTTGAAGCACATACCCCTCTCTCTTATTGGGGTGAAGCTCTTGTGTCCGCTGCTTATCTGATTAATAGAGTACCTTCTCGTACTGTGGAGTTCCAGACACCGCACCACCTCCTGACCTCATTGATTTCTGCCCCATCTTCTCCAAATCTCCTACCCCATGTTTTTGGTTGTGTGACTTATGTACATCTTCATAAGCATCAACGGAGTAAGTTGGCACCTCGAGCTATGCAATGTGTCTTTGTTGGATATGCGTCACAACAGAAAGGCTATCAGTGTTATCATCCCTCGACACAGAAGATGATTGTCACTATGGATGTGACGTTTCATGAATTGACCATGTATTATTCCTCACCTGAGTCTTCACTTCAGGGGAGAGAAGACAAGAAGTGCAGACTCTGGATTATACGGTCATACCATATCGTGTTGTTGTGGATAATTTGGATGAAAGTGGTGACAATTCCTTGGATGAAAGTGGTGAAAATCCACCAATGACCGAACCGGACACAGCATCAGTGCCGGTGTTGCAGCATGCACCAACTGAACAGATGACACTTGAACTAGATGTACAACACCAATCCGATTCGATAACTGAACCGAATGAACCTATGTTGCTCGAGCCTAATGCCACCAGTGATAACCAATCTCCACCAATGACGGATGTCCATCCAACACGTCTTCCACCAAGAAGTAATCGAGGTATTCCAAAACCCACCTATGAACATGATCCTACAAGTAAAGTAAAATATCCCATGAGTAATTATGTGACCACTACTCATCTATCAGAATTAAATAAGTCATTTGTGTGTCAATTATCTTCTATACGTATTCCTAACAGTATGCAGGAAACCTTATCAGATCAGAACTGGCAAGCCGCAATGGAGGAGGAGTTGAGGTCATTAAAGAAGAACGACACATGGAAAATAGTTGATTTACCGGTTAGGAAGAAACCTGTGGGGTGCAGATGGATTTTTACAGTGAAGTATCTGGCATACGGAACAATTGATCGCCACAAGGCTAGATTAGTTGCAAAAGGGTACTCACAAAATATGGGATTGATTATACAGAGACATTCGCACCAGTAGCAAAGATAAATACAGTTCGTGTCTTATTGTCCCTGGCGGCGAACTTAGATTGGCCTTTGCATTAGTTTGACGTAAAGAATGCATTTCTGCATGGAGAACTGACAGAATAAGTTTATATGGACCTTCCACCTGGATATAGTGTTCCGGGTTCTAGTAGGAAGCAAGTGTGCCGATTGCAGAAGTCCTTATATGGTCTCAAGCAGTCACCCAGAGCTTGGTTTGGGAGATTTACACAGGCTATGAGACGATTTGGTTATAAGCAGAGTAATTCAGATAATACTTTGTTTATAAAGCAAACAGATGGTAAAATTATAGCACTTATAGTTTATGTTGATGATATGGTGGTTACAGGAGATTGATGAGAAAGAGCGCTTAGCGCTTCAGAAATATTTGTCAGCAGAATTTGAGATGAAAGATCTAGGTGATTTGAAGTATTTTTTGGGAATTGAAGTATCTCGCTGCAAATCAGGGAGCTTTCGGTCTCAAATGAAGTATACCTTGGATTTGTTGCAGGAAACAGGTATGTCGGCCTGCCAACTTGTTGAGACGCCATTAGAAGAAGGCTTGAAGCTTGGGATTGATTTGAATCAAGTTCCAGCAGATAAGGGACGATATCAGAGATTAGTTGGCCGACTGATGTACTTGGCACACACCCGGCCTGACTTAGCCCACGTCTTAGGAGTAGTTAGTCAGTTTATGCATAGTCCTGGAGAGCAGCACATGAATGCTGTAATAAGAATATTGCGGTATTTGAAAGGAAATCCAGGTAAAGGCATATTGTTCAAGAAGAACAATCATCTTAGAGTTGAAGGGTATACATGTGCAGATTGGGCAGGATCGATTAATGATAGACGTTCTAGATCAGGTTATTTCGCATTTGTGGGAGGTAACTTGGTTACCTGGAGAAGCAAGAAGCAGAATGTAGTTGCACGGTCTAGTGCAGAAGCAGAATATCGCGGCATGGCATTGGGAATATGTGAGATACTTTGGATTCGGAATCTATTGAAGGACTTAGGCCACCTAAGTCCTTCACCTATGAAGTTGTTTTGTGATAATCAAGCCGCACGTGATATTGCACATAATCCAGTACAACACGACAGAACCAAACATGTTGAGGTGGATCCGTTCTTTATTAAAGAAAAAATAGAAGGGAA